TATTCCCCCAGCAATATCGGCTGCTACCAATCCAATAACCGATTTACAGGAGCACAGGTGGGCAGCGTTGGGAGCAGCTCCCTGCAGGGAAGCCTGTGGAGGGGAAGGGGCATGGGGAAGAGAAGAGGCATGGGGGTGCAGACTGAGGTCCCCACAGTGAGAGAGGGAGTGGAGCAAGAGCAGGGGCAGAGGCTGGGGTCTCTGCCCAGCCCGGGTGATGAATGGGACCCGGGGCCAGTGCAGGGAGCAGGACAGAGCCGCGGGTGGTTTGTCCAGGGGATCAGTGTCCTGGTGCTTAATAATTGAAGTGGGGGTGCTTGACATAAAGGTCGTTGAATGAACTTGAGTTCAAGTGCTGATGCCACCATTTTTAAGTGCAGGGACATTTTTAACTTGCCACCTCCATGCCTCTCCTCGGGGTGGGCGCAGTGGTGGGGAGCACATAGACGCGGTGTCTCGGGGCACGGCTAGAAGGCATATATGTTTAGCGATGAAAATTCTCAGCTACACCGGGCAGAACAAGCCAAGAGCTAATAGAATTAATTTTCCTTTTATCAGTGCTGATCCGACACGCAACTGATATGTTGGTGCACCTCTAGTATTACCAGCCAAGATCCTTAGTGGAAACTAACCTACTGTAGCCACAACTGTTATCATCTTCTCCAGTGTATGCAACACATTTTCCTCCCAAAAAGGAGCTCTCATATCAGATGCGTCTGATGTACTGAAGCTACCGAAGAAAAGCAATAATTAAGTAAAACTGGTCGAAATATAACTTGAATCCAAGGCTCCAAATGCCAGTGAGAATTTGCAGCCCTAGGGAGGGAAGGGCAAGAAGAGTCCAGCCAAGGGCAACAAAGATGGTTGGGGGCGAGGCACATGGCTTGTGAGAAGAGGCTGAGGGCACTGGGCTAATTGAGTCTGGAGAAGAGAAAACTGTGTGGGGAGGATTGAATAGCAGCCTTCAACTCCCTGCAGGGGTTGCGAGGAGGATAGAGCTAGGCTGTTCTCAGGACAAGGAGCAATGGGCTCACGCTGCAGCAAGGGAAGTTGAGGTTAGATATGAGGAAGAACTTTGTCACTAGGACGGGGGTGAAGCACTGCAACAGGCTTCCCTTGCGAGGAGGATAGAGCTAGGCTGTTCTCAGGACAAGGAGCAATGGGCTCACGCTGCAGCAAGGGAAGTTGAGGTTAGATATGAGGAAGAACTTTGTCACTAGGACGGGGGTGAAGCACTGCAACAGGCTTCCCAGAGAGGTGGTTTTTACACACAAATCTAGGATCCGAGACCCTCACACTCATCCCAACTCATTCATAATGTAGAAGTTACAGTCCATATCCCTAATTTTCTCTTGAAGTTTTCAGTAGATATAGATTATTTAAAATGCTTTTTGACTTTCCCATTCGGGCTGCGAACAAATCGACTACTCTGTTTTGAGTCAGGTGAGACTTTCTCTTTCTTTCTCTCACCTTCATTTGGGGAATTCATTGCCCTGGTCGTCCTGAGCCGACCCTTTGTTTCAAGGCCAGAGACATGTCTTAAGTTTGGTGGTTGGCTGCTTGCTTTATGGAAGGTGCTGAAGAGGTACTTTGGGGAATAGAAGAAACACAGAAACAAGGAGAAAACACATTTATTTAAGCAAAATCAAGATTTTAACCTGTGAACAAAAATAGACAGACGCTGATAGGGTTGAGGATATAAGAAGTCTTTTGATGACTCCCACGGAGCTGGAAATTATGAAACGCTACCTCAGCAGTTGGCAAAATGCTCTTCTGACCTTTTTGGTGCACAAAGATGTAATTGCTCCTGATTACTTTCGACTGCCCTAAAAAGATAGTAGAATAAGATCAGTTCCCATGGCTCATACCCTTTCGGATGCTTTGAATGGTCTTCCAGGAGACGAGGGCCCAGAACCGAGGGCTCCCCCTTCCCAAGAGCGTGCTCCGACCACTACAAAGCTGTTCAAAAGGTGGCCACCTCCTCCTCCAGCCATGGTTTGGAACAGGACTCATTGCAGCTGGTGTGAGTCGGAGTATGGTTAAAGGACTGGAGACTTGGGCACCTCCCTAGCATTAATCTGGAGAGCAGCAGCCTATTTCATTTTCCATGACAAAATGGCACTTGTCCATCGCTGGAACTGCTAGAACAGGCTACAGGTGCATTATAGACAAGAAACGCGGTAACAGCAGTTTTGCTGCCTATGCTTCTGCCCGGCTCCAGCAAAAGTATCTCTGCATGTGACCCACGGGGAGCAGGATGAGCAGTAGCAGCCTTAGGGGAGGGTAAACTGGACGACCACCCAGGGTCCCACACTTTCGGGGTCCCCAAAATTTTGAACCTAAAACAAACCTAGAATGTAGCTCACTGGTAAAAAAACTTTCCGTAACTTATTAAAAACGTTGTTCTTTCTTCAACTTATGAATACTGATTATCGAAATAGGTGTCGGAGCAACGGATTGACCATTGACTCTAAATTTATTTTGTTGAAAAAATCTGCCATTCTATATGTATAATATGTCTCTCAATAAAATAGGGTTGTTAACACGTGTGTTCAGAGTGTTGTATTACTTAAATGTATTATGTAATATTCTCCACTGCAGTTCCAATAAAAATGAATTACCCTGACTATCTGTATCATCAGTGTTGTATTAAGATACTTTCATTGCAGTTTCATGATAGGGCAACATGAAATTGAAATAAAAAATGTCCAACTTGCTGATAGGTCATCAATAATAAGCTTCTAATCGCCCCAAATGACTCTCTTGCCCAGGGCTCCAACAACCCTCAGGCCACCACTGAAACGGGGACCAGGCTCAGCAGTTGAGCTCCCTGGTACTCAGTTCCTCACTAGGGCTGTGCGAAGCAGCTGTCTCGATTCGGTTTCAGATTCAGCCATTTCGGAGGGACAGGGATTCGTCTGGGTGTTTCGGATTACTGTTCTGTTTTGATTCAGCCGAATCTGTTTGGGAGTTTCGACGCTGTTTTGGTGATTCGGACGTAGGCTATAATGGGGAATTACTAAAGTGCCTATAACTTTGTCATTTCTGGCCTGATTTTGAAGAAACTTGCAGAGATGGTAGCCCCTTCCCAGGGCATGAAGCCAGCCAGGTTTCTGTGGCAGAAATGCCACCGTCGGTGCCCCTCTCCAGAGACCTGTCGCAGCCAGCCTGAGAGGCTGGGGGTGAATCCCTCACAGCGGGGATCTCCCACCTTGTCTGCATGGCAAAAGCCTGGGGCCTGGGAGGCGGATGCTCTGGTCACCTTGGCAGTGGGCAAAAGCCCGGCCCTGCGTGCGGGCCCAGGTAGCCAGGGATGCTTGGGAGATTGGTCAGCTGGTGGCCAGTATTGGCAGCTTCGATTGGACCGGGCTGCTGAGGTCAGAGAGGTTATTTAAGGGCCCGGGCCAGGAAGAAGACAGCCTTTAGCCATGCAGTCATCCAGGTGAATCTGAACCTGGCTCTCTCCTCATCACCACATGCTCCAAGAGTGCCCTGCCTCCAGAGGAAACTCCAACCACCGCTGGACGATGCATGTGAGTAAGGTACTCGAGATCAGGCGAGATATTTAGCTTCAGTAACTCAGATGCGTGTTTAAACGGCTACCTCAGCCATACTGGTTTGCTTTATGGGATTCCTGTGATATTCGTCCAATACTGCTCTACTTTTACCCTGTTTTCGCCCTACCCCCTGCAATCAATAAAGTTCTCCTTTGTGACCGGTGTGGGAGACTTATTGAGGGGTGGGTCCAAATTATGCCAAGGAGGCCCCTTAGGTCTGCGGACTAAGAGAGACTTTCCTAATAAGCCCCTGACTTGGGGAAGTGCCCCAAGTGCCTGTATTGGGTCTAGGACCCATTGGATGATCAGGCCTGTGTTCTCCAAGGTGCACAGAGCCAGAAGTGAGTCCAGAGCCTTGGCTGGTGGCAGCAGGAACCCCAGGCTAGCGGGTGTGCTCCAGGGAAGGGGTCGGCCGGACGGGAGGCACCCCAAGGGAGGCATTCAGAGCCTGGAAGCTGGTCGGGCGCAGAGAGGTGGGCGGCTCAACGCAGGAGCGCCCCCTACTGGTCCGCCACAGTTTCAAGGAGATAGGTGCAGGGGTTCTGTGAAACAGCACCTCAAACTGTTCAAAGAAAAACTCCTATCACTTGCTGGCGCCAGCAGCCTGCTGTCATCCAGAGGCCCACACCCCACGGGAGGGCAGCGGGGCCGTGCCAGACTCCTTGGGCGGGGTGCGGGCCCCTGGATCTGTGCATGGGATGACAGCAGGCTGCCGTCCCTCCCCCAGAGCACTGGGACGGAAAGGGACCTCAGGGACAGATCGCAGACACCGCCCAGCTCCAGATGTCAATATGAGAGCAGCCCTTCCCCTCCTCTTCCCCCTCTCTCTTCTTAGTTTCTGTTTCCCTGCAAGCCCGGCTCCAAAACTCCAAATATGGCACCGCTCCCCCACCTCCAAATTTCCACACCTGTGGGGAATATTGTGGGCTGGATGACTCTGCTGCAGGCCAGATCTGACCCACGGGGCAGGGGCTGAGCATCCATGTTCTAGGCCTTTTGTCTCCTCTCTCTCTGCTGCCAGCTGTGCTCATCACCTGGCAGGCTGGCTTGACTCGGGAAGACTACAGGAAGAAAGGCACTGAATACTTTGGCTTTCTCTGCATCGTTTGTAACTAGATTGCCTCCTGCAATCCATACAGGTCTGATCGTTTATTTGATCTTTTCTTCCTCTTGACATAGTAACAAAGTCCCTTTTTAACTGTTTTCTATGGCCCTTGCTATTTACATTTCAAATCACATCCTGCCCTGCCTAATTTTCTCACAATCTATGACAACTTTCATCACATCAAGTTTCTTAGCAATGCCTCTCTCGATCAATAATTTCTAACCAATGACAGAAAGACCACAGAACGCCCCATGGCCATAACCAGGAACTTGGACTTGAGGCCGCTATATGGCATGTTCCTGCCATGACTGTCGGAGCATCCCTCTCTGAGGCGATTCATAGAAAACTTGGAAAGTCTTGCTTCATCCTAATGTGCAACAAAAATTCTGAATTTCCAGAAAAATTAACCGTTTCTTTCTCTGGTCAGAACTGGTTCTAACCTTTTTTTTGTTTTTTTAGTGAGTATTACTGCGCGTAGCATTTTTAGACAAAGGGGTCCAATCATGACCTCAGTTCAATCAGTATGGATTCAGAGTTAGTCTACTGAATGGACTGTCATTTCACCCACATCAAAACTGCTTTTCACTGGTATGCCAAACACATTCAAACCTCTTGAAGTATTTCTCCCCTGCCTAATTTCACCCCCTCTAAAAATACTGAGAGCAACAAGACTGGCTCAGAAAGAAGTGGTCAGCATTTTCTTTTATTGAAAAAACTCTATTTTCTGGATTGTCTTTACAGCTCAACTTTTTTAAATTGAAAAAAGGGGAAAAAAGCAAGTCAAATTTAATCTCCCAGGCTAGAACAGGCACCCGTGCTCCGCTCTTAATTAGCAGTAATGGAGGGAAGTAGCCTGGAAAACAGACGCTTACCTTGCCTACACTAGCAGAAGAATCGTTTTTTTTCTTGCTTGTCTGTGATTTCTGACCAGACCTGTGATGAAAAGTAAAAAATGTTTAGTCCCCATGCATTTTGAATGCTGCATTACCTGAACAAACCGTTTAACAAGGCATCGCAACTATCTGTTCCGAGATCATGCTTAATAAAACACTTCTGTGTAACTGGATTGTCAAATGGCAGGATCTGAAAGCCATGTAGGCCCCACAGTTCATGGCCCTATATTGAAGATCAAACGTGCCCTGTGTGCTTCTCCCCCTGTACTGCTGGAAGAGTCTGCGCAAGTGCTGGGAAGTAATCCAGCTGCAACAGCAGAGCTCCACGCAGGCTCACTGATAGCTGCACACAGGTGTACCTTCATTCAGCACCCAATAGCAGGCAAGCAGGCAAGAGTGTTAAGAGCCCCTAGCTACCTCGCCTTGAGCCCCAGGGCTTATTCTCCCAGCCCCGCCCCAGCAGCCATGTGGGCGCACGGCAGGCCTTTGCGAATGCACACAGCAGCCAAGGCAGAGCAGAGACAGTGCTGGGGAAAGAGACCGCCAGGCACAGGGCAGGCGAAGCTGCTGCTGCTCCGCACACAGCACTACATGATGGCTCGCCCGCTCGCTTTCCCGCAGGTGCTCTGAGACTTTCATCGTGGACGAGGCTGTCAGGCTGCAACTTCAAAACGAGGGCCTTGGCCTAAGACCACGGCTGCGCATCTTGACCTGCCGCCCTCTCACTACCCGCTCAGGCTGGTCAAAGCCATCCTGAAGTCTCTGGCAGGGCCAAACCCTCTGTCCACTCCCCACTACCAGAGCGGTAACTGGGGTCAGCTGCCCGTCCCCTTCCTTCAAATAAACCCCTGACCCAGAACAAGAAAGTGTCTGGGCAACAGGGCAACCTACCCAAGACTGCTTGGATGCTCCCTCTAGCTCACTCCTTAGCTTTGCCTTAGTCCGATCTCCTGGTTCTTGACTCAGCTCAACCCTGGACTTCGCTCCTGGACTGACCCCCTGACTTCCTGGCCCAGCGTGACCCCAGGTTTTGCAGACCTATCCAAGTCCTAGGCAGTGCCCCCATGTCCTGGCATGACAAAGGTCCTCTTTGATCTCATTCAAGAGCATGTCATGGATGCCCTCTTCCTGATGGCCAATGAGCAACTATAGCTCTAGGCCCTCATTCTCTTCTATTGGCATCTGGGCCCTTTCCTCCTAAGCACAGGGAAAGGCAAGGTTTCCTTTCATGGGGAGAGAAGCAGGGCTGCCCCCACCGGGGAGCCATCCAGATCCTGCAAGCCCTGTGGCTGAAGCCCTGCTTCACCTGGCAGGAAGCAGAGTCACAGGAGGAGGCAGTAACCTCAGTTACTCGCCCAGCCATGCCCTGCCCACCTGCCCTTCTGCAGCTGAGTCCGACCTTCAGGTTAGACCCAGCACAACGGTGGAGGCAACGGATGGTGACACAACACAGCGCCCTCTTTTA